GGAGGCTACAAATATGGTGACTTTTGGATACTTTCTATTTTGTGTTCTTGTTCTTTGAGCAAGCAAAAACCTTTTTCTTTTAATGGAGACTGAAACATTCCCAGCAAAAGCAAAGACTCCTTTAATCACATGGCTCTGGAGCTGAAGATCTGAGCAATGCCGTGAATTGCAGGGCGTGTTGATAAAACTGGCAATATTGGTGGCAGGCTTTGAAGTAGTTGAATTTTAGGACTGACATGTCTGTAAAGTGGTGTTTTGCAGCAGACAAGATGATGACACAGTCAGCCTTATTTTACATCTAGCACAGTCCTGCAAAACCTTCTGCAGTGCAGAAAAAAAAAAATAGTTGTGTGGTGTTCTGCCTGGCTTTTGCTAGAGATTTAGCCTTAGGTGACCTCACTGAAACTGTGTAGAGGAAAGCCTGCTTATTGTTTGCATTAACTTTGTAATACAAAAGTGGAAGGCTAGCAGGCAGCTAAAAAACATAAACCAATGAATATTTTGGGTTTTGTGGTGGGAGGAGAGCGGCAAAAGGAGGGAGGAAGCAGGTTGGGAGGTAAAGGTGAGTAGCGGAGGGAACGTGTGTGTGGGAGCTGAGCTGGAGGCTATTGATTGGCAGCCAGGTCTTAACATCAGCTGCATAAAAGGAAATCAAAGAGACTGCCCAAATATTACCGGGATGAAAGGCAGGATAAATAGCACAGAGCTGAACACTGTGCTGGTCCGCTCTTCTGGCAGGGTGGCAGGCCTCCCCTTTTAACTGGGCATGGGGATTGCATAGCCCCATGCCGCTCTCTCTGCAGCAGGCAAGATGATGACATGGCTTTGATAGCAGGATTTGGGGATAAAATTACCCTCCTCTGTCTGTGGGCAGAGCGGGCGTTGTATCTCGGATGATTCCACACATTCAAAGCCTGGGATCAGAGATCTCTGTCAGGCTTGCCTTTCTCCAACAGAAAATACAGTGAAAACACATAAAACCTTTCCAGTTTTACCTCGTTGTGCCAGTAGATACCTCAATGAACATGCTTATGTTGCAGAGCACCACGTGGTGAGGTGGAAAATGAAATGGGAGAGGATGAGGTTTCTTGCACCCAGGGAGTCTGTGAAACAGGTAGTGGGAACAGAGGCAGGTTGCACAATCCTTGGAGGGGAAGAGTCCTGCTGGAAAGGTTCCAGATAAGTCTTAGGAACCCCTTTGCTTAGTGCTTTTAAGCTTCCTTTCCCTCTTAGGACTCCTAGGATTTTGCTAAATGCCTTATTTATCTTTCAGCCGTGCTAGGATGTTTGGAATTAAGAAGCTAGAAATTTCCACACCACCTTTAGTGGCTGCTAAAGAGTGTGAGTGAGTGAATGAGTTACTGAAGACCAGTAAAAAAAAAAATTCTCCTTGCAAAAAACCCTCGAAAAACAAATAAACAAAAGCTTTGAAATTTTCATCCCTGCTGTCAGTATTTGTTTTTGGGGCAGCAGCCTTTCACTGTGCTGTGCTAGCAAATTGCAGTCCTGGAATCCTGGAGATTAGAAGCAAAGCCTGAGTAGCAGACAGCTGGTGAATGTGTTTTAAAATTGTCCGTTTAACCCAAGGCCGCTCCACTGAATGCTGTTTTAGCTCTTATATTTTTAGTTAGATGTGTGATATCTTTGGCCTTTCTATAGGCAGACAGCTTGCATGAATTGATGGAGCTGAGTGCAACCTTTAGCTTCTGTTAACTCGCCAGCAGTAGTGTACTGGAAATTTCTGATTCAGAAATAGGCCTTCTATAAATGATTTAACATCAGGCCATTGAAATGCATTTGTGTTTTCCTTCTAAGGGCTATTAAAGACAGAGAGAAAACATTTAGCACCAAATTAATGGTTGGATTTTTGTTTTAATCTTGCAGATGGGGTTGATTTATATCTCAAAACTACAGGCTGCAGAGAGGAATTATAATACTACACAAATTTTCATTCGTACTTAATTTTTTTTATGCCAATATTTTCAGCTAGATGCTGTCTCTTTAATGTGGTGAGTTTTCTTTTTCATTAGCAGTAAGATGCTGCATTTCATCCTCTAGTTTGTATTCCTTTGTCGTTTGAAATACTTGTCTGTGGGCTACAGTGACTGGGAAGCTGGGACCAGGCAGAAGGTGCAGGGTCTCTTACCCCTATCCCCTTGTGATGGAGGGATGTGAAAGCAGGATTGTGGCAGGCTGCCTGCAGTCTCTCGGTGGAGGCAGACCTGGCTGAAGAGAAAGAAATGGTGTACTCCTACATGCAGATAGCAGAGCAGGAGATGGGATTAAATGAGGGAGCAGAGAATTTGCACAATAGTGGATGGCTCTGATAAAATCTGGTTGGCTTTCCCTTGAGGATTGCAGAGAGATAAGCAGCCTTAGCTCATTAGCACCTGCCTTTCCTCTTGCTCTCTGATGGCTGCCTTAGGTTTGGTGGCAGGTGGTGATGGCAGGGCTTGCTTTGATCCAGGGTTCAGTGCTGGGATGTAGCGCATCCTGAAGCCTGAGATGTTAGGTTGTGTGCCATTTCTTGCAGCTGGGTTTGGACTCTAGCTCAGTGGATATGTTTACGGTTGGAGCTTCCTTCTCACAATGTTTAGTGCTCTCAGTGCGTGAAAGCAACCATTAGAGTCTCTAGATTTAGTTTTTGAACAAATGAGCTTTCTTGTACTCACTCCCACTAAACACAACTCTTGGAGCAGTGATGGAAATGAGTTTTAACTTTGTAGCTCTGGAGAACCCAGTTGGCTGGGTCTCTGGAGGGTGCACTGGAATGTGTTGAAGAAGAAAAGTGGGAGTTTTTCGATGCCTTCAAGTCAGGTCACTAACGATAGTACTGCAACATCACAGTCACTGCAAACATTAGTTCATTGAAAGAATGACACGTTAGATGCTTCCTAAATATTCTCTGTAGTTACGCTGTGTACCTTGTGGCTATCCATACGTGGCCCCACTTGCTAAAACCGAGCTGAGCAATTTCCAGTCCTCAGTGCTTTTCACCACCTCCTGCTGGAGGTTAACACTTCTCCATATCTGCTGGTTGATGTGTGTGGTTGTTTGAGTGATCCCCCAACCTTTGGCCAGAAAAAGCAAAAGTTTAAACTCATTAAGATCTTTCCTGGGCTATATTGGGATGATTTGGCAGGGACTTCTGCCTGAGTTGGGGAGAGTGGAGGGATACCCTTCCCTTTCATCCAAGCGAGAGTGGCCACTGTGATAAAAATAAGACTTTGCGTTTGTGTAGTGTCACGTTAAAACAATCCACTTGGAAGCATATATGTATAGCATATTTAGCACTTAAATTAGTCACAGTAACTGAAGAATGGTCCTTTTCTGCCTTTTGACTTAATGTATCTGAACCCACCCTATTTACCGGAACCTCAAAGTTGAGCATGAATCCTGCAGAGATCTGCCTTAGCTTTGGCTGCAGGCATATCTCCAGTTAACTCTGTGGCACTACCAACGAGAGCCAAGTGACAAGTACGTGGTAATCACGGTAGGGTCCTGGCCTGTTTAAGTCCAGGGCATAAAAAAGGGTTAGAAATTAATATACTGCTTAGCATGACATAAGTGTCCTCAGGTTGGGTTCCTTGCTTGAAAGACCAGTGGTACAGGTGAACTCTGTGTGTTATGGTGGGCATGACTTGCTCAAATCACAAAGCCTCCACTTTCACAGGTCGGGTGAAGGAGGAGAAGAAATGCATTTCTGCTGGTGGTATTTATAACTCATTTTGGACTGTAGCATCAGGTTATCTTTTCATGCCACTTGTTGCTGCCATTTGAATGGGAAATTTAAGAATGCCATTTCCCTTAAAATATTATCTTGACTAAGAGTGTTGCCTGTCAGCTCTTCAGTAATGGCATATGGGTTGGAAAGGTTATCAACTTCATCTCAGGCTGTATTTCCAATGAAAAAAATTGGTGTTTGGCTTTAGAAGATACACAGCTTGGAGTATAGCTATTACCTTGTACTGGAGCACCTTTAAGTTACGCTGTGTACGTTGGCTTTGTGTTGTGTCCACAGCTGTGACTGGATGTGGGCCGCAGAGGATGGGAGAGCCTTTGCGAATTAAGACCTTGCAGATGAGCAGGTCATAAGTAGAAGGGAATAAAACTAAAACCATCACTGTTTTTCCTGAGTTCTTTGCTGTACTTAAGTGGGTTAATAGAATTTCTTAATGTGGCACTACTGTTGTCAAAAGCAGAGAGGAAACATTTGTGTCTCTATTGTAGGCACTGTTGTGGTGCTACTGACTGGTGTGCTGGATCAGGAAAAAGCATTTCTTCCAAGTGTTGAGCTTCAGAGTGTGGCCAAAATAAAATGAAAAAGCAGTTGCTACAATTCCCACAAACAGCTGCGAGAAGTTATTTGGAGCTCTGCTTAAAATCTTATGTAGCACAAACAGCTTAATATTTGCAGATCCCTGTAACCTTTATTGGAAGTAATGTCTTTGCCTGAGCAGGAGCTCCTCTGACCAGCGCACCTGGGAAGAGCAAAGGCCTATTTATTTCATGTATCATTGCTGATTTTTTGGCAGGCTGTTTGGTGGGGGAGAGTACCTTGGAGAAATGTGATCATCCTCGTTAGGATGGGCAGTGGTTTGAGGATGTGGTAGAAAGGAGCCTGGGAGAGCAGGGACAGAGTGTAAATAGTTGGTTGGTTTGGTGGTTTTTCTCTTATGTGGATGCTTTGGAAAAGGCCACCTCATGGCCCCATCTCCTTTTGTTTTCTTCCCTAACAGTACTAAGCAGACAAACCTAGCAGTGTGTTTTCCCACTACCAAAATGTCTGAAACAAAAAGATGCTAGTTAAAACCTTTTATATATTCAAAGGGACTTTATCAGGAATATATCAAACCTCCAGTATGGAAAACGTAGCTGTTTATAACATTCTTTCCTGCTAAAAGTCTTTCTTAACCTCAAGGTGCTCCTAGATGGGAGAGCTAAGATTTTGGTGGGAGCTGCAACTTTCTGAAAAAGTAATGCTTTTCCTTTTTATACAGTGGGAAGAAATCGGTGAGGTGGATGAAAACTACGCTCCGATACACACATACCAAGTATGCAAGGTAATGGAACAGAATCAGAACAACTGGCTTCTGACCAGCTGGATCTCTAACGAAGGGGCGTCCCGCATCTTCATTGAGCTCAAATTCACCCTGAGGGACTGTAACAGCCTTCCAGGAGGACTTGGGACTTGCAAAGAGACTTTTAATATGTATTACTTTGAATCAGATGACGAAGACGGGAGGAACATCAAAGAAAACCAGTACATCAAGATCGATACCATCGCTGCTGACGAGAGCTTCACAGAGTTAGACCTCGGCGACAGAGTTATGAAGCTAAACACAGAGGTGAGAGACGTTGGGCCCCTAACGAAAAAGGGATTTTACCTGGCTTTCCAGGACGTGGGTGCCTGCATTGCCCTGGTCTCCGTGCGCGTGTACTACAAGAAGTGCCCGTCGGTGATCCGCAACCTGGCCCGCTTTCCCGACACCATCACGGGGGCGGATTCCTCCCAGCTGCTGGAGGTGTCGGGCGTCTGCGTCGACCACTCGGTGACCGAGGAGGCGCCGAAGATGCACTGCAGTGCGGAGGGGGAGTGGCTGGTGCCCATCGGGAAGTGCCTATGCAAGGCAGGGTACGAGGAGAAGAACAACACCTGCCAAGGTAAGGGTCTGCGGGGGGGGCGCTCCGCTGAGGCTGCGGAGCGATGCGTGGTCTGGGCTTTCCTCTCATCCGTGTCCTTCGTGCCTGACTGAGTTGACAAAGGTGGGTTTGGCTCTCACATCCACTGAGGTCCTTTGAAGGACCATGAAGGCATGAAGAGTGAGGCCTTGGCTGGAGGTAGTGGGACCTGACACCTCTGTGCAGGTCCTTCTGGTGCTTACAGGGCTATGGACAAGGACAATGTGGCACACCACTGTTAACTCCAGACCACTGTACTGTTGGGTCCATGAGCCGATTGTGTTCTTATGGGTTATTTAAAGCTTTACATTGTTTTTCCTCAATATCAGGTTTTCTAATGCATTTTAGGAGCTTGGTTTCTTTTTTCTGGACTGTACTAGGAAATGTTTGTAGTTAACTTCCCTATGCAAGATGTGTTTTGGTTTTACATTTGAAGGAGTCTGTTTTTTCTCTCTTTATCACTCTGTTGAGGGGCATAGGAATTTGATGTGTTGTGAGTTGATTGATTTTCCTCTCTGGTAAATAATTTAATACAAAGCTGCTCATCTGTTCAGAGTTAAACCTAAAGCACCACTGATAAAAACACTTCCATATGGGCTGGAGTTTTCACACAAGTAGCTGGCTGAGGTTCCTGAGTTGCTGGCTAGCATAGGTCTCCTGACTCATCAGGGGCCTTGTGCAAGAGATCTAGGCCATCTGAAGCTCAAGACCTAAAAAATACTTTTAAAGAAATGCAATATATTCTAAGTGTATAATCATTTTATGGTTTGCTGTATTATGTGCTTGTTTATAAAATTTGCCTTTACATTTTAAATATGTAAAAGGTATCTTAAAAACCTGTATGGACATAAAGGAGGAGTAGGAAGAAAAGATTTTAATGCAGTATGCTTTTTGCAAAAATTTTTATTTGTTGGTCACTGGCCCCATCTTAATTGCCTTATACTTGCAGCCACCTAGTAATAGATAAGCTGTGGAGAAGGCAAGGGGATTCTGCTCCAGCTGAAGTTGGTGTTGCACTTTCTCTTAAGCTCCAGACACTTGTTATGGGGGCTCGTAGTGTTGGTGCAAAGAATAGGTCAGTGCATATCCAGAGAAAACTGTGTTTTGCAAAGCTGCAAAACAGCATGTGGAGTGTGTTTTTTTTTGACCAGGATATTCTTTTTTTTTTTCTGAAGATGTAGTCAATACAGCAAAAACTGACTGACTTTGGTTTTTCCTGTGCTGATGGTAATGCTTCTCCCATTTAGGGGGGAAGTAGAATCAGACTTGATGTTTGATACTGCATAAAGGGAGATAAATCTAATCAGCATTAGCCCAAGCTGAGGAAATCTAGACTGCCATAGATGAGTGACGTAGGTCAGATGAGGGACGTGGGTCAGACAGATCAGCAAGGACCTGCTTCATTATGGCTAAAAATACTGTGTCCCAAAATAACATGCCAGTGGTTGGGTGCTGTGTCTAGACACTGACTTCAGTCACTTGTAAGAATTTTTAGAGCAAAGGGGTACATCCGTTAGTCACCTTTTAAATCAGATGGGCATTATGGGATATTTCAAAGCACTTTTAAAGATCTCATGAAGAAACAAAAAAACTAAACCACAAAAGAACCTGAACTGAAAAACTGGACTGGTTTAAACTAGAAACCTATCTTTGAAGAACCTACTGTGCCTGTAGAACAGCTGGATCTCTGGTAGTGCTGTGATAGCAATCTGGGGTGCGCTTTCGGAAGACCTTAGTGATTTGAGGTTGTGCTTTCCACTTTGGGATGTGGGGCTGTTTTTGTTTTTTTTTTTTTTTTGTTCTTTTTTCTTACTCAGTTGAGGGGATGCTGTCTGGCCCTGCAATTTATGACTGTGTTGAGTAGAACTGATCATAATTTGAAGTATAAAGCCGCTTTGTGGCAATGTACCCTTGCCCCTCTGTCATAAGCCATACTATGTAAACTACTTTTGTACTTCACCTACTGCCTGCACCCTTGGCAGGAGTTTACCACTTTAATTGCTCTAGAGCTGTTAAAGCCCATAATTCTTGCGGGTAGGAAAGCCCTAAAGTCTGTCACCAAATCAATGGCATGTTGGGATCTGAGTGCCTATGGCAAAGTCTGTTTGAGGGGCCTATTTGGATGTCCTGTGTTTAACCCAGCTCATGGTGCCAAGCTTTTCTTGCTAGTTGGCTTCAAAATGCGCAGTCGATAGGAGACACTCAGCCTTAGGCCATTCAGGAGGTCTGCATTCAGTGTGTATGGAGGTCATGCTAATATCCTGTGTGAGGAAAATGCTTTCTGGTTCAGATATTATTTTATTTGCAAGGATGAGATCTTTTTTTTTTTCCTAAGACTGTAAAGTTAGAATTTGCAGCCCCATAAGCAGAGTAAGTAACACCAAGGAAGGTCCTATGTTCCTGTAGATTTTATTTATTTTTTGGTTTTTTGTTTGTTTGTTTTTTTAAATCTCCACAGTTTGGCATTTAGGAAAAGCACTCCATGCTCCTGGCTGACACAATGATGGTCTTGGCACTGTGGTGTAGCTTTGACAAACACCTAAATAGCTTCTGACCTTTGGTTTGTAAATCACTTGGGTGTATGTTGCAAGTGGTCTCCTACTTGCTTTCGCTTTAGGCATAAGCAGGTTATTAGTGGCCATGCTTTGGGAAATGTTTTCAAGGCAGAAGAGCCTGGCTTTGTTTATTAAAATTTCCCCTGCAAAGATGACATTTTCCCAGCTCTAGTGTCATGTCTGGACAGAGCAGTCTACACTCTCTTATTAGAGGTGATGTAAATCCCAGTCACCCTCACAAACATATGGGAACTATTGAAATCCCTTCTGCCTACAAATCATTAATTGGCAATGATGTTCTGAATTCATCATCTTGTCAGCAGGGTTCCTGTTTGAAGAAGGCACTGACAGTAACAGCTGAGCAGTTTCTCTCACTGGGGACACTGAGGTTGTAAATATGACATGGTCTAATCTCCTTATATAATGTGCTCTCTCTCAATTAATATAGGCAGCTAGGTAGTAGTTACTGTAAAAAACCCAAACTACTTGGATTTTTACACCTCCTTTGGCAACATGGCCCATTTATCAGCAACTGCTTTGGGACAGCTAGAGGTAAATTACGACTGTTTTGGGATATGCTTATAAAAGACCAGTGTTAAGGTTCATTATTCACAAGAATAAATTGCTGTGCTAGTTAAGAAGAGAAATGAAAGCAGGTGCTCTGTGAATTTCTAAGCTGGTTTCCAGAGCAGTGATTTGGTGCCGCTGAAGGACCAGTGTGCTTTTTGGCTTTGCCTTGGTTCAGCCGGTGCTGTCTGAAAAGGTCCTCAAGGAAATGCCTCTTCAAGTCTCCTAAAGGTGGTCTCCCACTTAGTAGGCAGTACTCAGCCAAAGTTCAGGGCCAGATCCTGAAACGCTATGAAGCTTGATATAGCACCACTGAAGCTTCTGTTTTTACCCATTTAGGAATTTGTTCAAACAATTCCTTACTTGCCCCACTTCATGCCTTCCGTCTTTCTGCACTGGCATAGGTGAGTTTTACTGTACCTTCAATTCTAGTTGTTTACTATATATAGCAGGGCTCACCATTGGGGTTTGCATAGGAAATAGTCACCATGAAAAAGGCACCTTCTGGCACTTGGCTTTGGATTTATCCTCACCTTCATCCCAGTATGTTCTCAGTGAGACCAAAGAAGTGCTTATTTTTATGTCTTTAAAAGCTCTTGTAGCCCATGCTACTGGAAGGGTGAGGATGTTAAGCTAATGAGACCCAAATACACATGCAGTGATGAGGTCCTGCTACTAACCAGGGTGCTGCAGAGTGGTGACACTGGATGTAATTAGTTTGCAAAGCCTGATATTTTTTCAGCTGCTTTTAGAGCTGAATCACAAATTACATATTTGATTTCAAAAAAAAAAGTAAAACAAATTGCACTGAATGAACTGAATGAGAGCCAAACTGGAAAGGTGAGTAATGAGTTCAGGAGGTCATGAGGCTCTTCTTTCCAAGAATCAGTGCATGCTGCTACTTAGAGTACAGCTTGTTTTAGCCAGCTACCAGGTGTGGACAAGATTATGGATGATAGAGGTAGAAGAAATAATGGAGGAAACCTCAGGGAAATCTTTTTTCAGCCTTCCTGCTGTATGAGGAAGACCTTTGAAACTGAGGGATGGAGGGAGGATGGGTCGGAGTTTGGTTTTCTGGTTTTAGAAAGGAATTGTTGCTGGAGGAAATTTTTGGATTTTTTTTTTTTTTTTGTAAAACAGCTCTGGAACATTCAAGCCTTTCTGCTGTTTTAAATATTGAAGTTTGTTTGATTATTCTTCCCTTAATCAACTTTGAGCATACCCCAGTGCATTTACACAATGCTATTTATTTTTACTGATTGTTCATTGCTTGTGTTGCAATTCAGCTGAACTCCTGCCAAGAGAAATGAGAATTTCTTCCAGAAAACAAAGGCTGCAGATAAACCTTGTGTTTGCAGGTCTTTTATTCTGGATGTAATTAAAACTAATTGACATAGGTAGCTAGCTTACATAAATCAGAATTTACCTGCTGAGTCAGTTCTTGGGTGATTGACTTGCCGGCTGACTGGGGGAGAAGCAGAGTTACTCATCTTCCTCCAAGAGTGGTGCAATCAATGCAGACCTTTGAAGGCACTTTCCCAGAGCAGTGATTGAGCTCCCTGTTGAGCTGTTGGAATGATATTCGGAGGCAAATGTGTTTTTTCTTCTGTGCAGGAACAGGCAGGCTGAGGTAGTTACCCTTGAGTGGTGGCTAGCAGAAGGCTGGGAAGGGTTGGGAGGCAACAGGGCTTGCAAAGGCAGTGGTGGCAGAGCCATGCTCCATGACTGTCACATTTCTCTGACTGCACAGCAGCTATCCCAGAGGCCTGACTTGTGAATGAAACACACAGCTGATGTTACACTAAAACCCCCTCTATTTTTAACAAATTTACTGTGTGTGATTTCCTTAGGTGACAGTGC